AATGATATCACAAACCAGTGTTCAAACTATAAAAGCCTTCATTCCTAAGCCTTATTTATCCCAACTTCTATTACCTCGAGAAGTGATGCTGTTTTAATAGCTAAAGAAAGGGGTTCATCAGGTTTGGTCTGCTCTGGGTTACATTATTTATAAGAGATGTTATAGTTTAGAGACATTACGTGCCGATGTTTAGTCATAAGTATACACGCCCTATTACACCTCCTTGAAAAGCCTTTTCCTACAGCCAGTCTTCATATTGTGTAATTATTGAAATATTTAGTTCTTATCAAGATCTCTTATTCAACTTTTATTTAGTTAGATCCGCAACATTAATTGTGGTTTCCTACAATCATAGGTTTAGACAAAGTTTAGAAACAAAGAGGATTAAAAGTTACTTAACACTGACGATAGTCGATAAGGGTTAACGCCGTTAGGGTATATATGGGAGTCAGCCCTGTTTCTCCTTACTCACGTACACTGCATATACCAGCACCTGTAATAAATGTCAGTTGTCTTAAAAGTATTCTTTTCCCTTAGTTTTAGACGTTCCAGTACCACGGTACCCCATAACGACATCGTATCGTTATATATTTAGTATTGCTGTCGGACAAGCTTTCCGCGTTGCGCATTACCGCGGGACGCCCCTAGTCTATATAATATTCCCGAGACGCATCATTTCCAACGGATTATCAAGGTATTCTCGTGTAAGGACGATAGATAATCGGAAATAAAACTCCCGTTCCCCGAGAGATAGTTTTTTGTATCTATTTCTTTAGAATACACATCCGTTATAAGGAGTTCTCCTCTTCGTTTCACTAGAACGTCAAAGAATGCGATTTGCAGATCGTTCGTTTCAATTGTAATTTAATATTTAGATCTAAATCATTTATTATTTGTTGCAAATCTGCAACGTTGCAAATTCGTTCATGCCAAATACATCGTCTAAGAATCATTTCAACTTATTGCCTAAATATAATTTGTAATCCAGGCCATGTTCGATTTCTACAATTGAGTATAATTTTTCCTCAAGGAATCCCATTCTTAAATGTATTTAAAGTGAAATATTTTAAATAATGTAATAACTATGTAATATGTGAACTTATTTAACCCATTCCGTTTAAAATCATCAACTAAATTAACTGGAAGGAAATATATAGCCTCCACTTTAAGACAAATCCCAATTCCCATAAATATAATATTGAACATACCTGATGAATGAACTGGTTAAACACACAAAATACTATTGAAGAAGTTCCATTAGGTTCACGTATAGGAATACTGAACTTATACTAAATACTTGAAACAATATATCTGCAAACTTTCTATTTCCATGAGAGGAAAAGAGAGTCTACTTTTCATACACAATCTATAACATTTATACAAAGGATAAAGTTGAATAGGCGAATTGCCCAGATCAGTTCCCTCCGCTTTCACCCCACGACCAAATATTACTGAAATAAATACATGGACACATCTACGCCGTCACGCACGAAGGTAGGGCGAAAGTTTTTTTTAGTCTTTCTCTCCCTTTCCCCCTTTTGTATGGCGATTTTTGTTGACTTTTTGGTGTAGAATCGAAGAAAAGGGTTTGAAAATACATTTTCTGCTAGGTTTTGGTGAATATTTATGATTTTGAAGCGGAGGGATACAAGAGTTGAGCGGTTGGTTAGGTTGAAATGTAGGGCCGAAAATTGCATAGGCTATACCACACGTCAGTGATTCAATAACCTGGTTTCTCGGTTGCTGCTGTGTTGGGGTTGATAATTAAATCTATTTCCCGACAAACATAGCAGTTCACATAGACGAGGGAGAGAAAGAGAGAGAGGGGGTTAAATTTAATTAAAATTAACCTGTCTATAATATCATACATAATGTATTGGACGTTACAGTGGCAATGGACAACAACAAGAGATTCAACTAAAAGAATAAGGCTTGACGCATGCAGTGTTTATTTTATATTTGTGTAAGTTGTGACACGCGTAATGCACGATACAAAGTATGCTTACTATGTCAAGAAACAATACCGCTTATCATTTATTTATTTGAGCAGTTGTACTTTGCTATTATTGACACCTGTATTTGCCACCTTACATCAGAGACATCTAAAGCTCAGGGGTATTTTGGCTCTGACCTCGGTATCCCCAGTGTACTCATTCCGTTCTACTCCACTACACCCTGAGTTAATCCATAGGGTTTCCACGATTTGAAATTATCTGCCCTGGCCTTGATTGTAGCTAAAATCTACGAACCAATCAAAAACCAGTTTACAAACCAGTCGTTTCGCGTTCGTTTTTATAAGGTTAGATAATCATATACACGCCATTTACTGAATGATTTATGTAAATAATGTATATATTTCTAATTCATTTATATTTAATTGTATTATCAAAATCTGTAGTTTGTTTCGCTGATTTCAAACATGTATAACATCTATATTTTTGACTTCTGTTATTATTCGGTCGATATAAATAGCACAATCATCAAGGGCGTATAACTTGAAAACATGTCCCACCATAACGCAGGGGTTAGAGGAGTAAAGTCGAGGATGCACAACCCCTACCCCCGGAAAGAAAAAAATGCTTTTGAATTGTCAACTGTGGGGATTAGTTAGACGTTGGTTCGCTAACGACGGGGCAATCGTATTAAAAACAAATAACAGTCGGATTGAAAATAAAAAGAGTTGTATTATGTATTATAGTTGATTATCACATTATGGCGGTGATGGAGTCTGTTGGTGGTACAAGTCTGGGCTCTTATTCACGAAAACTTAAACTAAGATACAATCGAAATTTTAAGAAATACTGCAATTCGATTGGCTGACCAATATGCAAATTGGATATATGCAAATTGCTTTTACTGGTCAGCCAATCGAATTGTAGTATTTCTTAAAATTTCGATTGTATCTTATTCTTAGTTTAAGTTTTCGTGAATATGTGCCCAGGTTGGTTGTATTAAGTTAATAATCATACCTACTAACTATAAAACTGTATTAAATGGCGTTTGGCTCTATTCTTTCTATCCTTAAAATAGACGAAAATGGGTCTAAAAGGACAATTTATTAATGTAGCATAAATGTATGCATAGTCAATTTTTAGAATTTTTATTGCATTTCCTAATTAATTATGTTCGATCAAATCCGTGAACAGCTCTGTATTGTCCAATATACCCGTTTTTAAAATAATTATTATTGTGTCGTTTGTAAATCAGCCATTAGTAGTTTCTTCTGCATTATCTTGTAGGATTTATGTGTCTTTGTTTATTACAAATGACTCACAAAACCGTAGAATACAGTATTCGTGTACTGATTTTAAAATTTTATTTATGTCATAAATATTCGACACTGGGATCCAATATTTTCACTCCAAGATAACATTAATATTGATCGAAATTGACCAATATTGAATTTTGATTCGTGTTTTTAATTTCCAGTATTACGGAAAATAATGAGTTAGAGATTTAGCCCCATAATTAATACCTACTAACTATAAAACAATATTTAACATTTGACTTGAGGATATTATAATGTACAAAGTGGTGATATATAGTGAATATAATAAACATTTACAATTATATCATGTAAATGAAATAGGGTTTAATGAAGACAGGGCATCACGGGTTATTTTACAGGTCCAAGGGTTTTTCGTCTCATCCGAACAAGACAGCTTACTGTCAAGGGATCTTTTAAGTGCATGCCAATGTGTACACAACTAGACAGTTGTCCTTGTCAGGCCTGTCGTCCTGCACTTTCTAGCAATAACGGGAGAGAACCCGCGACCCCCAGACTAGCCAGCCAACGTCTTACTCACTTAGTGTAATACTATGACCCTTGCGACCACATTGTATCATTAACTAGTTATTTGGTTCACATTTTCTATAGAGTCAAATCACACTTACTAAAGACTTAATGAATTGAATGATATATTTATGTATAAAAAAAACAGTGATATTTCGGTAAAATCCTTACCATTGTCAAAATATCCATCAAATTCTACCTTGTTTATGACGTGTTTGGTAGACCAAATAAGGTAATGCTCTCCCCCGGTCTTTGGAGTATGGGGATATTTATTCCATATTTGGGAAGGAAATTAACGTCAAGGTCAGTCTATTACCTACAGAAACCAGGAGGTTATAAAAGGGGGTGTTGAGCGAAATTCATCAGAGCTCACCCAGATATTCCGAGCAGCTATCATCTATGCTTTATTGAGAACGAGGACCTTCGAAGCCACACAGTTTATCAATAAAGTTGTAGAAACGAACTAACCTGTAGTTTTTTACGATCACAACGGAAACACAAGAAGAAAGTCCGATATTATTACATTAGCCACCGTGGCTCCGTATACAAATTGATTTATTATTCTATGTCTATGAAACATATAAATGTCAGCTTGGTTAGGGTGATGAAGCTGGTGAGATTCAATTTTATATTTGGGCCCAGATATGCGCCACATATCACCGTTGTTCGTTGACACCTTGATTATTCAGAATGAGTTTTGAGGATGAAAACCGGTCCACTCTTACCAAATATCCCGCGTTTGCTGCTATGTATGCATTTAAAGAGTTCACAGGTGAAGGGAGCTATTCAGGCTTTATCCGTATGGAGGCATTAAATTTCACCTCCTCGGTAATTGGATTTTGTGCTTGAATTATAACTGGGAATTTTATCTTGCACCAAGAAATAGTTTCTTTTGAGTAAAGTTAGAACCGGGGAAAGATACTAGAATTAACGCTGAAATCAATTTGAGAAAAGTTAGAACCAGGCAAAGAGACTAGAATTAACGTTGGAGTCAAATTATTGGCGGTATACCTCCGTATCCTAGAGATCTAGATATAAGTTGTATAGAGCTTTGAGCACAACTTCTGTATGCACAAAATTTTTTATCGTGTATGGACCCCATCCTTTACCTGCAGCAATATCATGGTTAACGTGGCTATTATTTTGTAACTAAAAAGTAAAAAGGCTAATTGCCAACCCGGGTACCGAAACAGACTGCGACACAGAGAAGAGTTCAATACATATATTTCTTCAACAATAACACATCAATACAGAGTTTAAAAAAAGTTATGTCAGTAATCCTAGATTACGGGTTAGTGTCATGTGACCGGAAATGAATTTACTGGTATCCAATGCTTACCACAAAGAGCTAAGGAAACCATGGTTGATAGTACATTACTTTATAGCACATCGAAATAGTTATTATTTTCTTAAAACACTTAATGATGATTACAGTGGCAGTGATCATTTTTACATGTTGGGGTTCCACCATGTTCGCACTGGCAGTTTGAAAAGTCGTCATCGGTGCAGGTTCCTGGTTCCCGCTTACCTACATGATGATGGTCGCAGTGACAATGGCCGTGCTTGCAAGACGCAGATGCACCATGATCACACGAACATTCAGTGAGGTCATCGTCAGTACAGTCGCCAACGGAATGGTGACTACAGTGGCAATGATCGTTCTTGCAGAATGGTGTTCCTCCATGGAGACACTGACAAACGGAAATATCATCATCCGTACAGTTGCCTGGTTCCCGCCTTCCTACAGCGTGATGGTCACAGTGGCAGTGATCATTTTTACATGATGGGGTTCCTCCATGTTCGCACTGACAGTTTGAAAAATCGTCATCTGTGCAAGTTCCTGGTTCCCGCTTACCGACAGGATGATGGTCGCAGTGACATTTGTTGTGCTTGCAAGAAGCAGATGCACCATGATCACATGAACATTCAGTGAGGTCATCGTCAGTACAGTTGCCAACGGAATGGTGACTGCAGTGACAATGATCGTTTTTGCAGAATGGTGTTCCTCCATGGAGACACTGACAAACGGAAATATCATCATCCGTACAGTTGCCTGGTTCCCGTCTTCCTACGGCGTGATGGTCACAGTGGCAGTGATCATTTTTACATGATGGGGTTCCTCCATGTTCGCACTGGCAGTTTGAAAAATCGTCATCAGTGCAGGTTCCTGGTTCCCGCTTACCTACATGATGATGGTCGCAGTGACATTTGTCGTGCTTGCAAGACGCAGATGCACCATGATCACATGAACATTCAGTGAGGTCATCGTCAGTACAGTTGCCAACGGAATGGTGACTGCAGTGGCAATGATCGTTCTTGCAGAATGGTGTTCCTCCATGGAGACACTGACAAACGGAAATATCATCATCCGTACAGTTGCCTGGTTCCCGCCTTCCTACAGCGTGATGGTCACAGTGGCAGTGATCATTTTTACATGATGGGGTTCCTCCATGTTCGCACTGACAGTTTGAAAAATCGTCATCTGTGCAAGTTCCTGGTTCCCGCTTACCGACAGGATGATGGTCGCAGTGACATTTGTTGTGCTTGCAAGAAGCAGATGCACCATGATCACATGAACATTCAGTGAGGTCATCGTCAGTACAGTTGCCAACGGAATGGTGACTGCAGTGACAATGATCGTTTTTGCAGAATGGTGTTCCTCCATGGAGACACTGACAAACGGAAATATCATCATCCGTGCAGTTGCCTGGTTCCCGTCTTCCTACGGCGTGATGGTCACAGTGGCAGTGATCATTTTTACATGATGGGGTTCCTCCATGTTCGCACTGGCAGTTTGAAAAATCGTCATCAGTGCAGGTTCCTGGTTCCCGCTTACCTACATGATGATGGTCGCAGTGACATTTGTCGTGCTTGCAAGACGCAGATGCACCATGATCACATGAACATTCAGTGAGGTCATCGTCAGTACAGTTGCCAACGGAATGGTGACTGCAGTGGCAATGATCGTTCTTGCAGAATGGTGTTCCTCCATGGAGACACTGACAAACGGAAATATCATCATCCGTACAGTTGCCTGGTTCCCGCCTTCCTACAGCGTGATGGTCACAGTGGCAGTGATCATTTTTACATGATGGGGTTCCTCCATGTTCGCACTGGCAGTTTGAAAAATCGTCATCTGTGCAAGTTCCTGGTTCCCGCTTACCGACAGGATGATGGTCGCAGTGACATTTGTTGTGCTTGCAAGAAGCAGATGCACCATGATCACATGAACATTCAGTGAGGTCATCGTCAGTACAGTTGCCAACGGAATGGTGACTGCAGTGACAATGATCGTTTTTGCAGAATGGTGTTCCTCCATGGAGACACTGACAAACGGAAATATCATCATCCGTACAGTTGCCTGGTTCCCGTCTTCCTACGGCGTGATGGTCACAGTGGCAGTGATCATTTTTACATGATGGGGTTCCTCCATGTTCGCACTGGCAGTTTGAAAGGTCATCATCTGTGCAAGTTACGGCTTCCCTCTTACCGACAGGATGATGGTCGCAGTGACATTTGTTGTGCTTGCAAGAAGCAGATGCACCATGATCACATGAACATTCAGTGAGGTCATCGTCAGTACAGTTGCCAACGGAATGGTGACTGCAGTGGCAATGATCGTCCTTGCAGAATGGGGTTCCTCCATGGAGACACTGACAAACGGAAATATCATCATCAGTACAGTTGCCTGGTTCCCGTCGACCTACAGCGTGACCATCTGGAAAATATAATATATGGTATTAATGTTCTAACGTCATAATATATTATTGATTACGTAAATGAACGAAGCTTCAAGTGTTGGACCGCAACAGTACCGAGCATCCAACCACCGGCTTACGCGTGTACAACATAATAGAGAGGTTTCGACCGTGACACCATTATCTTTGCCTCGGATGCTACGACAATTTGGATTGGAGTTATTGCGCTGTAGTTTATGGGTTACTATTCGATATTATTCACCTGGACTCGAGGGTTGATTCCCGACGTTGTTTTCGAATGTTGAAATTGCGTTGATGGGTATTTCGGATATACTTCCAATCATTGGATATGTATTTAATATCTCGACTGCCAGGATACTAAATCTTTAAAGATGATTCTGAGCAGTTTACAAACGTCGGTAGATAAAAACATAACTCATGGGATACACCAGAAAGTTCACTTTTGGGTTTTCATACAAATAAAATGAAATGGGATTTAACGCCCTACTGTTCCAATTACATCTGCCAAAGTATCTTGTACGTACACGCAAATGTGTACACGAGACTATTCCTCATCCCTTGTCAGGCCCCGTTTCCTGCACCACTGACAAGGTGTTTTTCACAGGACCTTTAAAGGAGCTAAGTCTTTAACTCAAAATCATCCACTGTCTTCGACATTGAAAACACGAATTATCTGTCAATTTAAAGCAACATTGATGTTTTGATCTTACCGGGAAAAGATAGGCTTCTGATATCCAATATTTAAGACAAAATAAACATGTCACCACTGGGACAAGAATCGTGTACCAGAATGAGTTTCAAAGCAATTTGTAACACGGCTAGTCATATTCTACAAGTCATGTCAAACGGCGACCTCATATTCTAATATGGAGAGCATACGTAATAAATACTACCAGTGTAGCCTAGGATAACCAGACGCTAGAGATTGCCATTCGATTGAGATTTCTCACGTATTTCGCCGAACATACCTGATTTGAAATTTTGTGGCAATTTCTAAGTCCCAAATATTATCAATTTAGCTCCTTTAAGAGAATAATGTACATACCTTTGCAACGACATTGTCCTTCCGCGTTACAGAAAGGTACTTCATGCATGGCACAGTTGGTAAGGTGTTTACATTCATGGTCCTGATTACAGACCTGGGCTCCTACACCAGTAACTGAAACGACACCCCAACACATTTGTATGAAATAATAAATTCGAATTCTCTTAACGGTACTGTATTCATCCACCACCAAACACTGAGTTTTTATACGCCCATATTTTCATGTGGACGTATTATGCCGCCCCCTGTCCGTCCGTCCACAATTTATATGTCACAATTTTTATCCGATTTTGACGAAACTTGAAATAAAGGTCTATCCCCGACAGATCTCCGTTCCTTTCGATATTAGCATGTATCGGACCACACCTTCGGGAATTATGGTCCCTGTTTGTACGAAAAATCACATGTTAGCTTTTGGACATCTGATTTTGATGAAACTTGAAATGCAGACTATATTATTATCGGTGGTGACTTTAACACTAACGTTAATAGAATTAACTCCTATCATCCAATCGTCTTTCGGGGTTTTGTTTATCCAATGCTTTAAAATATACATTGACTCATAGAAGCTGCAAGATTGATTGATGACCTTATTTTTTCAGAGATATATTTAATAAAATCTTAAACGGTGTCTCGTTACAAGAGGGCGATAATCTGTAAGACCATGCCGCCATCATTATAACTTTGAACTTAATATCGACACCTTTGTCTCTTCTGAGAAACATGTACTTGCCAGCCCAGTCGTAAGATGGCAATATGCTTCAAAACAACAATTGCTCGCATTACAAATAAAAGCTTGAACATTTTCCTAGTGATATTGAAGTCCCATAAAATGTACAAATCTCTCATTTTCAATTCATCGCATATAATTAGATAATTACTACACTAAACTTTTAAGAATAAACATTGATGCTAGCTTGAAGAGCATATCATACTCAAAAGCTGGTAATAATAAACGAGTAATTCCTGGCTGGAACGATAATGTTGAACCATTCTGAAAAGTTGCAATATTTTGGCGTAACATTTGGAAAGAGAGAGAGAGAAATGGGGTTTAACGTCCACTCGACACAAACTAGGTCATTTCGGGACTAACGCATGGTTTAATTTTATTTCAATAATTCGCTTGCGCGTAGGGGTCTTTAGTGGTGGGAGGAAACCGGAGGACCCGGAGAAAACCCACGAGGTTGGACAGGCGACCTTACTCCTTGTCACGTACAACCGGGGATTCGAAACCACGCCAGTCGATTCAATGACAGACTTTATGATACAGCGCGCGCAAGCTAACCATTCAGCCATCCAACCCCCCTGTAACATTTGGAAAGATAACAACTCCCCTCGTTGTGGGCATTTGGCTGACATTAGAGGCCGCACTAGGGCATGGTACCACTATGCTCCTCCGGTCAATAAGCGCAATAAAAGAATATTATCGCAAGCAAATTAGCTGAAAATCTTGTGGCAAACAAGAGTAGAAACATATGGTAACAAATTCAGAAAATAAAAGGTTCAAGTAACGGTGTACCGAATTAGTTTTATTTAAGCAAGACTATATGGACTCTCTTGAACATAAATTAGAGTCAAATGTCACGGAACACTGCGAACACGGTAACCGTCATGATAACCATGAAATCTCCGTTTCAGATATTTTGAAAGCTGTCAAAAACGATGGCGATATCGGTCAATTTTCCGATCATATAATTCACGCCCCCTATTAATATTATTATTGTCTTATCAGCTATGCTACGTTACGGATTTAATCCACAAAATTTTACGTTATCAGCTATAATCTCTATTCCGGTAAACAGAAAGAAATCTTTAAACGACTTTAGGAATTATAGAAGTATTGCTCTGAGTAGCAGCACTGGTAAACTATTAGACTGGGTTATATTAAAGAAGAACAATGATGTGCTGAAATCGTCTGACTTACCACATGTTTATGCGCGCCTGCTAGATGCCTTTGACCGGGCCCACTTTCTCTACTTTGTGAAAGTAAAGAACATACAATCCAGAAGGGAAAAGATCGTTTTTGCTAATTTCAATGTTACTTTTAATCAATTTAAGTCTACATTATCAAACACAAAATATCAGCTTTTTAAAACGTATTGTATGTCTTTATATGGTGTTATATTGTGGGACTTAGAGCACAAGTCTGTTAATAACTTCTACTGTACCTGGCGTAAATGTATATCGCACTTATAATAAACTACCATTTTATTCCAAGATCGTAGTGTTAAAATTCAGCTGCACTCAAGATTTGTGCAATTCTTTAAAACATCAGTTAACAACAAGAACCTTTGCACCAGGCACGACTTGCAGTAAACATGCTTTTTATGGAAGTGGTTCTAATTAAGAATATAAATTATGTTTGTTTTAAATACAGTATTTCGAGGTTTAAATTTGTACAGTACAAAAACACATTTCGCTCTAATATTGACAATGATATTGTGACTCTTCAAAAGTCAGCAACTGTAAAAGATTTGATATATTTATTAGAATCCAACAACAAAGATATAAACCATGAACATATACGTGAAATAATTCACCACCTATGTACTGATTGAAAAAATCTTTACATTATTGCGATTGTATAATATTGTATTATATCTTTTGTAATTTATGTAGTTATTTATAATTCAAATGTACCTGAATACGAAAACATATTATATCATTATTATAAACCAAAGATCTTGGTTCCTTTCGATATTCGTGCGTATCAGATCGTAACTTCGTGAATTATGACCCCCGATTGTACGAAAACTCGCGTATTTAGTTTATAGCCCCTCTAAAGGTCACAAATATTATCCGATTTAAAAAAAACAAAACATTTGAATATATCATCGTTATACTGTAATGTCGGTTGAGTTCGAATTTCGGTAAAATCGGACCAAAACTGCCGGACATAATGGCCGCCCCTTGTACGCAAATAGTGTAAAATTATGGTATATCAATGTTGTGTGGATACTCTAGAGGTCATAATTTGATCCGATTTTGCTGAAACTTCAAATACATGTTTATAATCCAAAGATCTTGGTTCCTGTCGATAATCGCGCAGACTGGATCGTAACTTCCTGAATTATGGCCCTTGATTGTACGAAATACAACACCGTTACACACTAATGATTGTTGAGTTCAAATCTCGTGAAAATCGAACCGAAACTGCTTCCCAAAATGGGTGCTACTTGTACGCAAATGGTGTAAAAGTATGTAATACCAAGGTTGTGGACCCTTTAGAAGTCACAGTTTTTGACCAATCTTCATGAAATTTAAAATATAAGTTATATCCGACCTGACTGTACAAAATGAAATGAAATGAAATGAAATGAAATGGAGTTCAACGTCCTACTGTTCTGCTCCAAACTGATGAAGACAGGCATACGCCATACAGTGTGCTATGAGGGAAATTTTGCCCGGACAGCGGCACCACGGCCTACTCTTATATCGAATTCCAACTGTCAAGGGATGTTTTACGTGCACGCCAACGTGTACACGGGACCTCGGGTTTTCGTTCCATCCGAACGACTAGACAGCTGTCCTTGCCAGGCCCTCCGTCCTGCATCACTGACAAGGGTGATTCACGCCGGAAAATCTGGATGAACTTTCTCGGCCAATGCAAGGATCGAAAACCCGACCTCCAGACTAGCGAGCCAGTACCTTACCCACTTAGCCACCGGGATCCCCAACTGTACAAAAAATCGCGTTTTTGTTTAGCTTGTTCTCTGTCCATCTCTTGGAAAACGTGAGCGTATCTTGCCTGGCAACGGCTGGTCATTAATAAACGTGAGCACTTCCCTCTCAATCAATCCATGGGCAGAAGACGCATATAATAATTAATAATAATTTATTTTTGATAAAGCGATCAACATTAAAACCAAATTACAAACCGCTATCCAAACATAACACTTTAACTTTCAAACTTTATTAATTTACAATAGAATTAGTAAAAATAGTTAAAGCAACTATTAAACTTTATAAATATACTTTAAATTATTAAATATAGTAAAAGCAACTATAACTAAAATCGTTGTACAAATAAAAAAATACAACAACTTCAAAATGAAATGAAATGAAATAGGGTTTAACGTCCTACTGTTCTGCCCCGAACTGGGCTAATGAAGAACGGCATACGCCATACAGTGTGCTATGCAGGAAATTTTGCCCGGATAGCGACACTACGGCCTACTCTTATATCGAATTCCAACTGCAAAGCGATCTTTTACGTGCATACTGATCTTTTACGGGTTTCGTCCCATCCGAACTACTAGACAGCTGTCCTTGCCAGGCCCTCCATCCTGCATCACAGATTAAACTTTAAAGGTATACTATTAAAATTGGAGCAGAGTTAGATGGTGAGCACGATATAAGCAATTTGATCGATGACTAACGATGATTCTGAGAAAGATGAAACAATGAATATATGATGTTATTACATTGATATAAGTGCCCAAGCCTCCAACATAATGGAAAATAATGGTATCTTCACCATGAGAGAGAGAGAGAGAGAGAGAGAGAGAGAGAGAGGGAGAGAGAGAGATCCGATTACAGATTACAGATCTGGACACAGCAACACATTAATTGTGTATGAAACAAATCCGAATTCATGTAATCGTTCTCTGGCACGATCCACTACCAACGCTGTCTTATTAATAATTGGTAGAACCTCCCCGGTTAACGAATTCATGGCAATTATAGGTCGCAAATGGAAAGGTTGCAAAATCATATTCTAATGTACAAGAGGAAGTTGCAAGCTCTCCCGGGTCATGTCTGTGATATCACTTTTTTGGAAGCAGACGTTACATAACTAAGGTACCACTATTGTAACCAAAACGTGAAATGGAACACGAATTAGAATGTAATATTATTGGTCAATGGTAATGTATTTTCATAACGTGAAACCTTGGGCTCCTGATATCCAATATTCAGGACACAATGAACATTCTAACATCAGTTTCCGACTTCGGTCACTTCAGATGCTCTATATACAGTCTCGTACACCATGTTGAATGAGAAAACTTGTCCCACACAAGTCAATGCGGTATTAATTAAAAATGGTTAGATTTATTTCTTAAGGCCACCTCCAGATTTGGACAAAGGTCACGAGATACATGGTAAGCGCTAACCTAGACCTAGACCTAACCCCTGCCCTAACCTTATTTATATCTCAGCGACCGTGACGAAATCTGGAGGTGGCCTTAAGAAATAGATCGAGCTAATTAAAATCGGTTAATCTACAAAGGACAAAGAAAAAAATAGATGCAATTGTAAACTGAACGATCGTTCTGCACCACTGTCAAGGGTAAACCAAACAGAAAACTCATGGGGAAATTTGTCGGCAAACGGTTAGACTAGGCCCTGGGGTTACTCGTTAGAACCTCCCCCAATGAGCGCCACGGGGGTGGGTTGGAAAGTTAAAGCGTGCGCGTTAGATCAGAAGATCTGCCAATGGCTTAAGTGGCGTGGTCTCGATTCCCCACTGGTTCGTGACAAGGATTAGGGTCGCCTGCTTAACATTGTGGGTTTTCTCCGGATCCCCCGGTTTACTTCCACTGCCAAAGACCCCTACGCACAATCCGCTTATTGAATAAAATTCAACCATATGTTAATCCAGAAATGACATAGTTTGTGTCGAGTGGACGTTAAACCCCATTCCGCGCTCTCAATGAGCCAAATTTTACAGAGTTTACTTACCCGCTATGGCGGCTACCACAAGCAAAAATTTCATTTCAATATTTCGTTTGCGAAAAGCAATCCAATTAAAAGATATCACGTACCACCGTATTATATAGTAAATAAAAATGTCGTTTCGTGTGCAATGTTTACTTCAGATCATGACCCTCTTGATAAGACAAAATTATGTGGACCGTAGTTTGATTCGATAGGCGGTTTATATGCCCAAGTTCGAATCAACAGGATTGTCAAGATAGATAATTTATTGTTCTAAACTTAAAGGGGCGATTTCATATTTTTTATTACCAGTGACAATGCTTGCATTTATTTTTGAAAAGGTTCTATTGCACTTATTTGATTTAAAGCCTTGAATGTTTATCTTTTAACTGGACCTAAATTATAAAAAATATATTTTTTTTTTCGCTGTAAATTCACAAAATACAGTTACATCATTGTTATTTATTCTTGCTGCCTATATATAGACAGACTTCCGTAAATTTTAGCAGAAATAACAATGAGAGTGAAAGTGTATTAAGTAGTACGAACAGGTAATGTTTTTTTCGTGATTTTCTTCAGGGTACCAGGAGACGTTTTCTATTTGTCAGTAGTGTCGGATTCTCTTTTTAACATGCCAGATGACCAGACGAGATCCAGAACATTGCATTTCCAATCCAAGTGTAAAGGAACTGTCATGGAGATGTGCTGACTAATTTATATCAATATTCTTACCAGTTCCATTTACAAAAAAAAAACTGGCTGACACAAATGCCATTTATTTCAGTGTATACGTCTATGATTAGTGTTTCGTATTCCCTTATGCCAACCATAGCATTCTATTAGCTACGTTGCAGAATATTGCTGCACATACATTGTGATCAGAGGGTTACCACGGCTCCAGTTTATGTGGTACACTTGTCAAAGCCTATCAAGATACAGGAGATACACAATGTTCGAATATACAGTGATCTGGATCAATGTAACTCATGGGCTAAAACGTGATCGGTATCCTTTAACCCACAGCGGTTCTAAATGGCTATATACGATCTAAACTAAAATGTCAACAGGTTGTGTGGTAGCCAGCTTTTGGCAATTATTGAGATACATAATATGTCCACGAATAGTATCATCTTATGAACACGTTTTACCGGTAAATCACTGGATGGTCACCGGGCAATCTTTCCCTGTGCGTATGGGTCTTTTAGCAGTAGGAGGAAACGGGAGGACCTGAAGCAACTCACGAGTTTGGACAGGCGACCCTACTCCTTAAGACGACGCCAATTGACTCATTGTCAGATCTTATGATTCAATTCGAATGTGAACATCGCTGATCGTAATTTGCATTTTAAAACAATATCTACTTTTTCAAAGCCCAATCCTCATTCAGTTGAATAACAAGATGTCAGAGTCTATCATTGTTGGCGCCTACTTAATATGTTGACTATATCTTATATATCGTCGATAGTGGATGTCAAATAATGACAACGTTCAGTTTATCATATCTTAGAACTATTTTTGACCATATATTTCTTTTAGAGATAGCAGGTTTCAAGGGATTCGCCAATTCATCAAATGACGACCAGAGATTTTAAGCAGGGGTGTCTTAGTCGTACGGACAGGGAACTTGGTCAGGTAGTTGTTAGGTCGAAACCCTGTATGGTGTGCACTTAAAATAACCATTCACGGTAGGCTGTAATACCCTGCATAGCTCAGTCGGTACAGAAAAATAGAACGCTAAACCCCATTTAATTTAATTTCATTACCGAAATATTGCTTCAACGAAACATTAAAGCATTGCATTGTCCAGTAAACATTAAATCAACTAAGGTCATGACTATTGATCTTGATAATCTTACACAAATTAAGGACATTATCAGTTTAATAAGATGAGATTAGATGAAAGTTTGTGATTAGCTATTCTTATCGTTTGCTGATAACATATAAAAACAACTTTCACTAATAGATCAGTAGTCATCTCCAGATGGAAACGTCCAATGGTCTCCTAAAGTTGCACGAATCACCACCTTCTCCAAAAATGATTGTCACTTTTAAAATCACTTCACTGGCTCCCTGTTCGATAAAGAATAAACTTTAAAGTCATCAGTGCATACACGGCACCTCACCAGACTACCGAGGTAATACTATTCATAAATACTCTACGGCTGGACCACTGTGACCTGGTTCCTAGTGTTTATGAATTTTTTTCCAAAGTATAACCGGAAGACCTTTGGTTGCAGATCATTTGCCTATAATGCAGCACATACTTGGAATGAATTCTCTACTACTACATCTACGGACAAAAACTCAAAACTATTCCCTGTAAATTTTGTCAGCGCTTTGAGCAAACAATACTGTTTGGAGTCTACCGCTTTATAAGAACCGTTATTATTATTATTGTTGTTATAAATATCCTCTCAATAGGTCCCATGGGTAAAATAATGAGAAAGACAAGTAGAAAATGGAAGCCATCTTGAAAAATACTGATTGTTTTTGGAAATTGGAGTGGCTTACGGGATTTTCCCCTACAAATGATCATAAACGGACACCCGTGGACATTTTAGTGCTTGTATACAGTTAGTTACCCTACTAAAAGTGAACTGCGAGTTCAAATGAAAACGATTACTTTTAATTATTTTTTTTGTTCAAGGCGCTGCCCATGGCCTGAATATTCAAGGTATATGTGATACAATTATTTATTTATTTTTTTTAAAAATGTAGATTAGTGTTTGTGGGGTGAAAAGGTCAGACCAATCGTCAAACATGGTCAGGGTTAGAATTAGTATTCACATGTATAATAATATCCTATTTGCTTTGTTCTTGCTTTTGAAAAAATATATATCGGCGAATTAAATTCCCTCAACTGAACCGTGCTTGCTAAAGCAAGCCATCAATGACACCATAACCCGACGAAAGCCAACAATAAAACCATAGCCCAATGATTTTTTTTATTATGTGTTACACTTTAAAAAGATAGCTGCCAGCAATCGCGCCCTTTGCGTCAAGAGTAAGGCTGGAGAGTCATTTAAATCACACACTTGTGGCCAAGATGAATTCCAGACAGATTGTAAACAAGCAGTCAGTTGCAGCTGCATTCACTAGGCAACGTCAAATTAAAATAATTTATTTCATGACTGAGTACGTCGAGATAATTAAGGTAGCGTACATAGTCACAAAAAGGGGTCAACTTGCAAACAATTCGGCTTGTTATATCTTACTTTGTGTGAATGAATACAGACCTGCTTAAGCAATGCCTGTAGGATGTGAACAAAACATTTATAGTATAGATGTCATCACCATGAACAACACACAAATAACAGTATGATTGACAACCTATTACAACCTCGATCTTTCTAAGGTGTTAGACCTTAAGAACTACAACCATCTCCTACTATACAAACAATACATTATTATTAGTTCTATTACTATTATTATTAACTTTATTACAGAACGAGCCGGAGCAGGCGAGGTATGTGATTCCAATGCTGAATGTCATTTGTCCTGTAGGATTCCGCAGAGAATGTCATAATAACTTATGCAGATGTCATCACCATGAACACGGCCCATAAACAGTAAGTATGACTGACAACCTATTACAACCTCGGTCGATTTTCAAAAAAGGAGTTAGTATAACATGTCAAATTTTTTAATCCTTGTTAATGACTTAATTACTGCTGTCCTTTGAAGGTATGTTTATTTGCAATTTTTTCGTTCTTGGATTTTTGATATTTTCCTTCGGGAAGCTCATATAATTTATATAATATACTCAGCCAAATTAAAAACTTGACAATGATGAATTTCAACCAAATTTTTTTTTCTGGTAAGTCAAATAAATTTTAAAGTGTTTCTAACGATAGTAAGTAGTAAGAAGCCTTTAATTTCATAAAATTGTAAAGTCACGTGGATCATGTGACTTTTGAGCATATAAAGATGAAAAACCTGAAAAACACGTGCAAACACAAACTCGTGAGGTCAATCGATGCAAGTTTGCTTAAACTGAACACGCACACGTAACTTGAACTGGAAAAACAATTAAAATTGTTATTTTCATCTTTGTTAGAAAATGCCGCGCCTTTCAAATGTAGAACGTCTACGTGCTAAAGGTATTCTCTATGCTGGTCAGTCTGTGGTCACTGTTGCAAGAGCCTTTAATTGTTCACGCCGGACAATAATTAATCTTAAAATGAGAGTGCTTCAAACTGGAACTATTGCCGACCGCCCAAGGGCGCTCCTGACGTCACTCCAGGAAGATCAAGCAATACGATTACGTCATCTTAGAAACAGATTTGTCACTGCAACCTCCACAAGTAGAGATGTTTGGTGGAAGGGTAACTGCACAAACTGTTCGAAATCGCTTGCAGGATGCTGGTCTTCGAGCTCGGAGGCCCTATAATGGACCAATATTGACACCTCTTCATCGACGTAACCGACGTGTGTGGGCCACAAGACACATAAGATTTACTCAAAGACAGTGGAATTCGGTTGTCTTTAGTGACGAATCTCGATTCACTTTGAGATTTACCGATGGCAGGGTCCGAGTGTACCGCAGACGAGGTGAACGTTACGCTCAAATATGCGTCAGAGAAGTTGACCGATTTGGTGGCGGCAGCGTCATGGTTTGAGGTTCTTTTTGTGCACATGGACGTTCTCCTTTTGTTGTTGTCCAAGGGAACTTAAATGCTGTCCAGTACAGGGATCAGATTTTGCAACCTGTTCTTCTTCCGTTTATGCAGAGACATGGGCCTGGACTAACGTTTCAACAAGACAATGCTCGACCCCATACAGCAATTGCTACCCAGAATTTTTTAAGAAATGCCGGTATTCAAGTCCTGGATTGGCCGTCGCTTAGCCCCGACCTTAATCCTATTGGACACATCTGGGACGAACTGGGTCGACGTGTTCGTCAGCAAGTGAATCCACCACTGACGTTGCAGGACCTTCAACATGCTCTTGCTGAGCAGTGGCGACGTCTTCCTCGGGTAGTGTTTACTAATGTTCTGAGATCCATGAGAAGACGTTGTGTGGCAGTACGAGACGGTAGAGGAGGCCACAACCGTTACTAAACACTTTATTCCGAT